ATTTTTCTTCCATTCATTTTCTCTTCCCCATTGTCCCTCCTTATCCTCACAAGGGTAGTGGATGAGGTGAGATCCGAGCTATGAAAAAGCTGTAACTTCATCAACATTGAAGAAAGTTAACATTCATTCGCCCATGTATCAGATCACATTACAGAGATGTGGTAGCCGCTTTATCTTATCAGGAACACAGACAACACAGAATAAAGTCATCTATCTCGAGATCACGGTTCATATTTTCCAGCTTCATTGCATCGCAAATGTTTTAAATCAAGCTTATATTGTGGAATATTCCCAACATGGCGGGATGTTGTGAATATTTTTCCACACTGGCTGTATTACTGCTGAGCAATGAGATTGAGCCAAGAGGAAATAAAGGGCCCTATTTTCATGCCCAGAACAAGTCGAACGTAAAGCGTCGTCTAATTGTGCGCACGGGTGGAGTTTTCTTTGTTTTGGTATTTTGCTCGACAAGCGCAAGTAGAAAAGGCGCATTCCCCTCGGCCTTTGCGCCGCTGTGGGATGGAACTTGGCCAACTCCCGACCAATCCAAGCGGCTCCCTTTCTTCCCTTACTTTAAAATCAGCCCAGTCGAGGCACACATTCTTTTATATTGCAGAAGCAGGAATTGTGGGGGGGGTCTGTGCAAGAGATGGGCACACACTTTTGTCATTTTCGAAATGGAAATAGGTGATGTCCACCAATATATTACACCTTGTAGAATGATTCTAGTCCAATCTGACTTCCATGCTGGCAGCGTGGATTCAATTACTACTCACTGATATGTAAACTCGAGTGGGTGTCTGTCTTTGTCTAGTTTACCTTTTGCCTCAGGTCAAATAGGGAACGTGTCCCCGCAACCCTCAACGGGTTAGCTTGCGTTGGTGTCGAACTGCATTCCAACATACTGAAAACCGTTTCAAATTTCTGTCCTTCATATTCGACTGTGTAAATTGCAATTCATGTACACATTACCTTGGAGAGCATCAGGCATTGTGATGACCTGCAGCATGTGATTTTCGTCCAATTCATTAATACCACGTAGCCTGAAGGCACGCGTGTGGTTTCATCCTTCTGTGCAAAACCAATTTCACACTTGCGATCGAAGTCCTATAGTGTGGCGTTTTCATATTATAAGTTCAAAGTCAGGCCAAATGTAAAACACTTGCGTGACTCCACCTCTGAGTTTTTTGTGTTTTTTTTTTTTTTTCCGAGATTCAAGCTGTTGTTCGTCGCGATCGAAGTCCTATAGTGTGGCGTTTTCATATTACAAGTTCAAAGTCAGGCCAAATGTAAAACACTTGTGTGACTCCACCTCTGAGTTCTTTGTTTGTTTGTTTTTTTCCGAGATTCAAGCTGTTGTTCGTCTTGATTCTTTGCTTGGACCTTTGAGCTATGATTTCAGATACAAGTGCTGTATGGTGGCAGTGGACTCAGTTCTTTGCTTGGACCTTTGAGCTATGATTTCAGATAGTGCTGTATGGTGGCAGTGGACTCAAGTCAAGTCGCTTCACAGTGACCAGCTGTAGTAGCTCATGAACAATTCTTCCCAAAGAGGCTTCAAGCTCAACCTAAAAGGTTGTTTAAGGTCATGAGTCCCAAACACCGTGCTGCCAAATTATCCAATTTCACATAATTTGTCCCCAAAATGCTTTATTTACTTCAAATAATGTGTATTTCTTCATCGTTCTATGCCAGTGACGAATAGCGAAGGTAGAAGAATGAATTACTCTTTTACTAGTTGGCAGAAGGTACGAGTGACCTGTTTAGCCACCTGTTGCCAGTCATACAAGAGCATAACAGCTTTGTGTTCAACTAAACAGGTCCACATTTCACACTGAGTACCGAAGCTTGAGAATAAATTGAGATGAGTTGAGATCAGCGTTATTTCACATCTACTTTTTGTGTGGGGTTTTATTTTCTCCAATGGAAAATATTTACCTCAATGCACTAAAAGTTGGGAATGTTTACGAGGCATGTGATGCTGAATAAAGGACAGGAAATTCACCGTTACATTTGAGTGACAGTAGTAAAAATGAATACTTCAGGATCCCCTCAGTTTCCATTTGCCCTAATGAATGCATCACCACAGTTCCATTTTTCCATGCTTCCCAGTTGCTTCCTATTCATTTTGTGCGTGAGCTTGTCAGACTTTAACCACCCATGCACAATTGCTGGGGAATATTACAATTCGCCACCCCTCATTGTGCAGGATTCATTTCCCTCCTGTTCCTTGAGAGCGGCTCCTCTTGATTTGGATTCAGGTGAGTGGAAGGCTTCAAATTGTTCCTAGGGCTTCTTTGTTTCTAGAAGTGTTCACCCCGTGTCTTTATTTGTCTAAATGGAATTTCTTACAGTACAGTGGAAGCCCTCAGGGATTAGGAGGGTACATTGGAGCCGATTTGAAGGGAGAGTGAGCATGTGAGTGATTCAGAAATGACTGTGGATATGTGTGTGTGTGTGTGTGTGTGTGTGTGTGTGTGTGTGTGTGAGAGAGAGAGAGAGGCCCAGAGAGAGAGAGAGAGTCATATTTAAAGCATATGTAGCTAATGAGAGTCAAAATGTTACAAATTGCTGTCAGCATGATGCAGAGCAAACTACAACCACAATCATCAACTACTGTTGTAATCTTTGCAAATTTATGTTTACACCACACTTGTTTGGTAGAATTTTGTGATGTTGTGAATGCTTAAAAGACTAAGACTAAGTCAAAGGGTCCTATTTTTGTGCCGAGCGCAAGTCTAAAGTAAAGCGCAGTCAAACAGGACACATGGGTGGACTTTGGTAGACTTTGCACAGGTAGAAGCGGGCGTTGAGGGACGTTTGCGCCAATGTATGCTGTTGTGGGAATAAAATAGCGGTGCTTGACATTGCGGAAGCTGAAATAGACTCACTGGGGTCCATGCATCAAATTGGCAGATAAACTGCAAGATTTCCCCTTGTGGATGATGTTGTTGGCCGTGCATGTAACGTGGGCAATTGGAGATCGCCATTCGTCCAAAAAAATGCAAGGGAAGAGGACCTTGAAAAAATAACCGCATATTAAAGTGCAATCATGACAGTGAGTGTGGAAAAAAAAATCGCAATCAGATTATTTTTCGAAATCGCTCAGCTCTACTTTTTTAATGTACAAACATGCGTTTCACAGGCAGTATCAAATCTTCCATATCCACATGTCATGTTCCAGTGACTTTTAAAATGTTTACATCATTTCCCCATATCTGTTATAACACACCAGCTTCTCTTTCCTTCTTAGTTCTTGAACTTGAGAGATAGATCAAGAGAAGTTTCAAACACAAAGAGGCATCGCGACCCACAGTAGAAGCGCAAAACCCGGGCAGAAGAGTCCGATGTGGCGTTGTCATGGAGACGCTACTCTGTTGGACACAATTTAGAAACATGCACATGCTAAAGCAATCTTACATAATAGCTCTTTCTTCACTCCATCTCTGAATCCCTCGGTTCCTTTCTGTCAAAGGCTGTTACAACACAGATTAGCGTTGATGTAATTATGCCCCGACAGTAAGAGAACCAAAGTGACAGGTGCTTTCAAAACAATAAAAATGGTCGGAAAAAAAATCCTGGCTATGAGGAAGGAGATGGTGCTGATTTTGTCCCAATAACCTCGGTGACTCCAGCCCATCTCGATAGCACTGGAGCCTGTCCATCCACCTGGGGGGCAAATGTCTATGCCTCCTCTGCACTTTGTGTGCTTCATTGAATCCTCACTGAGACTCCAAGGGATGAAAGCATGAAGGGATGCCGTGGGGGGTGGAGGGGTAGTGGGTTTGGAGAGGAGGTAGAGTGGGATGAGAGGTGAAGTGCAAAGAGAGAGGAAGGGAAGAGGAGAGAACGAGAGCAAAAGTCCACTCGGCGCTCTAAGTCTTGTATGTGTGTGTGTGTGTGTGTGTGTGTGTGTGTGCGTGTGTGTGTGTGTGTGTGTGTGTGTGTGTGTGTGTGTGTTTTGCCTGGCTAAGAATAGCAGCTCTTGTGCTAACCCAGTGCCCCAGGACATGGCCATTTGAATAAAAGCTTCTATCACTACACACAGTACTACTGTATGTTCTGTTCTCTAGGTGAGTGCCTGTGTTGGCGTGTCTGTGTATGCAGTATGCATTTTAAGACCAGCAAACTGTAAAAATCAAACGGATGTAAATCCGCAGATTTCTGCGGGATGTCTGGCACTCCCGTGACGGGCAGAAATTCTGTCCACAATTTAATACAATACAAAGTAAATCAATGTCAAATCAAAAGTTAATTGAAAGCACATTTAAAAACAAAAGAACGATAGAAATTTAAAAAGAAAGTACAGAAATGAAAGATACCTTATTAAAATTGCAAAAAGAACATAGAGTGCAAAAGGTTTTTACAAATTAATTTTGAAGTTGACTGACTTTCTGCGCTTTCAATGGATTGTCGAATGGTTCTTGTGATGGAAAAATAAATATATTGCAGATTTGTGTACATTTGTACTTGCCAGGTCGTTCATCATTGCCATTTGGATTTGTTTATGTTACCTGTTCGTTGAATGTGTGTCATAATTAACTGCTGCATGTTGAATCCCTGACAGTGAGTTGTGTGCGAAACAGGAACACACGGGTTAATTCTGCTAAATCCTCCCTTTGTCTCAGTGTTGAAAGAGTTTCCATGAACTTGAGTGACTCTAAAGTGCCACAAAATCAATCACAGATGACAGCAACAATAATATTCTTCTTCTCTGATGAGGAGGAACAGGCTACTAAGTGTTCTCTGCTACCTATTGGTGAACAGCGTTAAAACTGCACTTCTAAATGTTGAAATGCACCATGATGGTGAATGTCTAGTCATCTTATGTGTGTTGAGGCCTCTACACCTTTTTTTTTTTATTGAATGAATCTGAGCTGTGAAAGAATGTGAAACAGACTACGGCAAAAAGAAATGGCTCCATATGTCTGCAATGGAGGAGTGCATTCTCCGCTCTCGTGTTTGACAAGCCCATCTTTCTCTTTCATTTTCACCTGCAGCACTACTTCCTCGTGGTCTTCGGCCATGATGGACAGAAGCCTCTGGAGCTGCGAGCGGAGGAGGAGGTCGAGTGCGACCAATGGGTGGAGGCCATTCAGCAGGCCAGGTACACAAAGGCACAGCAACTGGCTTACTCATGGATTTCACAAGTCCATCCCGCAAAGCTTCACACTGCTATAAATTTGGGTGTTTCTATCTAGCTAACTACTATCTATCTGTCTATCTATCTATCTATCTAGCTAGCTCGCTAGCTAGCTAGCTAGCAAGGTAGCTATCTAGCTAGGTAGCTAGCTAGCTGGATTTCACAAGTCCATCCCGCAAAGCTTCACACTGATATAAATTTGTGTGTTTCTATCTAGCTAGCTACTAGCTAGCTAGCTATCTCGGGAGGTATCTACCTATCTATCTATCTAGGTAGCTAGGTAGCTAGCTAGCTAGCTAATCATTTTCACCATAATCATTTTAACCGTACCATTCTTATAGCCCAGTGGGTTACTATCAAATTTCTTCACATTCTGAGGCCGTCCACATTCATCTAGAATTAAACTGATTTGACAAAATTTACCAATATCCCCGGCTCACATTTTCAAAAAATGGACCCCATTTCTGTCTCTTAATAAATACAAATGAAACATCAACATTTTGGGGCATCAGTGCACGGATGATGCAAAACAATCAGCGTGATAAAAGACACCAAAAAAAAACCAAAAAAAAAAAGAAAGCTTATGACAAATACAATTTCGGCTCACTCACTGTATTTTTAAAAACAAATACTGTACTGCATTAAGGAAATACAATCTTAGCATTTTTATGGTGTTATTTGTGACTGAAGTGGCAATACTGGATACAGTATCTTCTGTATGTTTTGAAATGTTATTGCTTGTTCAATACAGCATTCATTCACATTTTCCCATATTGCCGCACAATCTGACATTTCTTCAACATCATACCTTTTACGCCCTCCCTTTCAGTTACTCCGACATCATCATCGAGCGAGAAGTGCTGATGCAGAAATACATCCACCTGGTGCAGATCGTGGAGACAGAAAAAGTGGCGGCCAATCAGTTGCGCACACAACTGGAGGACCAGGACACCGAGATCGAGAGGCTGAAGGCGGAGGTATCGAGTAACACGCACAAGAGACACTTGATTAGGTACGCCTTTGGCGTTCATTGAGCTCCAACACAAGAGCTCTTTTGATTTTACGAAGGTAATAATGTTTAGTTTTGATTTAATATTTTTGTGGTTGTACATGACAGGGGTAAGGACTGGCAGTGCAAGAAATCATGCTGCAAGGTTTTAATGTTTTTTTCAAAATAATTTCTCATCGCGTATTTCTCGTATTTGCAGTGAATGCTGGATTCAGCCTCATGCCAAACACAAAACATATATATCCATCACCGCCGTATGTACTTCTGTCTTTTTGATGAGAGACCAACTGCCATGAAATGCTGGATTCAGCCTCATGCCAAACACAAAACATCACCGTGTACATCACCGCCGTATGTACTTCTGTCATTTTGATGAGAGACCAACTGCCATGGAAAGGCACATGTTTACCTCTGCAATATGCACTTCATGTCCCTGGAGGTTGAAAAGCGTGTGCGTGTGCGTGCGCGTGCACGTCTGTTGTGTGGAGGGATTGATCGGCGCTCCGCGGCGTAGGAGAAGAATAAAATATGCACTTCATGTCCCTGGAGGTTGAAAAGCGTTGCGCGTGTGCGTGCACGTGCACGTCTGTTGTGTGGAGGGACTGGATCGGCGCTCCGCGGCGTAGGAGGAGAATAAAGACGAGCCATCACGTTTTTTTTTTACAAGCATCTGACAAGCAACTGTTCTACTTATCGAACACTCCCTGTCCCTTCTGTATTGCAGTTGTAGAACACACGCACGCACGCAAGCATGCACATACGCAAACACATGCACGCAGACACGCTGGTTCAAGCTTTAATGACCTTTGCATTGTTGTTTTCTTGATTGATTCCGCTCACATAAGCACCCAAACGCAGATAATTATCGGCTCATAGTACAAGAAAAATCCATAGAGATGATTACTCCTCGAGTTACCAGTTGATGAGTGTGTGGCGTCATTCTTGTGAATGAATGGATTGCTAAAAAGACAGCTCTGATAAAACTGCTGCGACTCGTTGCCGGGCAGAATTTGTGGGTTTCATTCATCAGCATTTAAAAGCTCAGTTGCGGTTTTCATGTAAATGACTCCAAAAACGTATCAGGGTTAGCATAGTATGGTGGCGGTTAATGGTTCCCAATTCTGCCTCACAATCAAGAGGCTCTGGGTTCGAATCTCAGCTCAGGCTCCTTATGTGAAATTTGCATGTTGTTTGTGTGCTTGCCTGCTTTTCTTTCAGATATTCTGACACCGCGCCCCACCGCCCCTGCCCCCCAAAATTTGTTAACTCCATTTGAAAACTATTTATTGCTAAGAATATACCTAATCCGCCCCTCATGGAACATCACCACGACTTCTTACTACTTGATTGCATATTGTGTGTTTTAACAAAGCGCAGAGGTGCTATGTAGAATGGCTGCCAACATGCTAGTGCTTGGTGAATGTGGAATTTGTGGGCTAAGCAGCAATTAGCCCCAAGGGGACCAGCAGCTCTCATCTCTATAAATCACACCTCCACCGCCATGTATTGTATTGTGTCTCACTAATTGCTCTGATAAACAATTCATCTGTATTGTTTTCGCGCCGTGATCCTTTGCAGATCATCAAAGTGCTAACGTAAGATGTTTTAAAAATTATTATGAGGGAACATCTGCTTGCGTAATGGGGCCGCACATGAAAAAACATTTTCAGCTGAGAGCCAGTGTGCAGCCGGGCGATCCGTCTCATTAAAAACACACTTGTGTGTGTGTGTGTGTGTGTGTGTGTGTGTGTGTGTGTGTGTGTGTGTGTGTGTGTGTGCGCGTGTGTGTGCGTGTGTGTGCGTGTGTGTGCGTGTGTGTGCGTGTGTGTGTGTGTGTGTGGTGCTCGGTGTTTATGAATAATTAAACCAGCTAGCCACTGTAACTATCAACAGTTGGCAGCCTCATCTTTGCAAGCATTTGCATGATGCTGCTGCTGCGAGTGTGTCATATTTTGAGTGTATCGAGTTCAGTTTCATGCAAAAAGGCTGCAAGGCAAAAAACAACTAATGTTACACACAGAAGCAGGCGCTGCCAAGAAGTGGAAAAAAAAAGCTTTTAGTCGCTCTGCTTGCCTTTGAAAAAAAAAAAAAAAAAGAAAGGAATTATTTCCAAATGCCAGGCGAAATTTCTTCCTCTCGTTTCATTGCAAGATTTTGTGTTTCAAACTTGGAATGATGGACGGTGGTTTTCTTGCCCTCTGCCATGAAATGTCACATTTTTAAATATTACTCCTTTGAATGGACTTAATGTAACAATCATAAAGGAGCTGTCTTTAAAAGCCTTTTACATTTTGCTGCTGCCAGGCAAACAACATGCCCTGAGAGTCAAGTAAATTCCCTTCGATTTGCTTGGTCACCAATATGCAATACAGTAGCATAACATTTGTTGGTTTCATTTCTAAACGATACGCAAATGAATAAAATATACACCACTTCGAACACATTCACTGGCCACACAAGAGATAATCGTATTCAGTTTTCATTGATGTGTCATTTATTCAACGACATGCTGGAGTTCCTTTCTGTTTTGAAGGGTTTTACGTATTTAGTTAGTTGTGTGTCAGTTTACCATGAGCTCCACTAGATAGAGCTGTGTTGGAACAAAAAAAAAAAACTTGTTCTGTGTGGCAGTAGGTGTGTCAGCACAACTTCAGTTTAGCAAGCCGTGCGTAACAAAAATTTGGGGGGAGATTTTTTTTTTTAGGTGTCTGCCAAACTAATTGTATTTGTAAAGTCATTTTGGATGCAGCTGTTGTGTGTGATTCAGGGGCATGAGATCAGGAGAGTCAGGGGAGGTGGAGCCTCACCGGCACCATGAAAAAAGTCATTGTAAGCAAATGATGAATAAATAATCAGGCACTTATATGATGCACTCTGCATTTTCCATCATCAGGCTGATGTGTTTAAAATTTGTATGTTCCACGTTTAGTTTTGGCGATTGCATAAAACCACAGATACAAATGTGTGAGGTGAGGCAGTCAGTATTGTGCCTCACAGGGGCAGACCTACCATTCGGAGAACAGGAAAATTTGTCCCAGGGCCTGAGATTCCCACCGCCTCCCACACACCCAGATTATTATTATTATTTTATTTAACTCAAAGCAGTCATTATTGATTTCGTGTCAATTGACATTTTTGCAATTTACATTTTATACCTATGATACAATTTATGTATGCAGATCATTGCTCTGAACAAAACCAAGGAGCGTATGAGGCCTTATCACGTCAACCATGAAACAGAAGATCCGGACATCAAAAAGATCAAGAAGGTTCGTGTTCCCTATTGCAAGTGGTCGTATTCATCCTCTTCATCATTGTAGCTGCTCCACGTTACTTATACTTGTCTAAATTTAGGTGCAGAGCTTCATGCGGGGCTGGCTGTGTCGCAGGAAGTGGAAGATCATCGTGCAGGACTACATCTGTTCTCCTCATGCCGAAAGCATGAGGAAGCGGAACCAGATTGTCTTTAACATGGTGGAAGCAGAGACAGAGTATGTCTCCAGATGTTGAAATGCTCATGGACCATTCCACCTATGAGCTAATTGAACTAGGAAGCATGTTACAGTGCACTGTATTTTCCGAAATACCGGTCTTTGATCTCACAAACACAACACACAGTAACAATATAATAAGGTCTCACTGAAGGGACGTCCTCTCTTCTTCGTCCTCTTCCTCAACTGTCTTTGGGCAGTAGGTACTCCCTGAACTGGTTGCCAGCCAATCGCAGGGCACACATACACAAACATTCACACTCACAGTTACTCCAAGGGACAATTTAGAGTGTTCAATTTACCTACCATGCATGTTTTTGAAGTATGGGAGGAAACCTGAGTACGTGGAGAAAATGCAAACTCCACACAGGAAGGCCGGGGGCCTGGAATCGAACCCTGCACCTCAACGCTGTGAGGCCGACGTGTTAACCAGTCCATTACCGTGCTGCCCGCAATCGGACCTTCAGTTTCAGAAATATATTTTTAGATATAACTATTATTACAGGGTTCAGCAGCTTGCATCCACACACATTTTTCCAAAAATCCACGAACAAAAAAGCTGAAACCTGAGCAAAACTACGGTGTATAGAGACACTGGTTCACATCGAGGCGTCCATCAATTATGCGACTCGGATTTAACCGCTGAAGGACAATGTGTTCATTTTCTAGCGTGCCCATACTTGCTTTTCTGTGCCTTTTTGACCGATGAACCGTGGTACCGCAAAGGAACACTGTAAATACATGTGCAGATACGCCGTCTTTGCCCCTGTGTCTCTTCGCATGACGGCAGGTACGTCCACCAGCTCTACATCCTGGTCAACTGCTTCCTCAGACCTCTGAGGATGGCCGCCAGCTCCAAGAAGCCCCCCATCAGCCACGACGACGTCAGCAGCATATTCCTCAACAGGTGCGCGCTGACCAGCGGACAGATTTCGCCTCGAATCAAGCGCCAGACGTGTTAATTATGCAGAGCGAGCTGTTCAAATGGCAACGTGAACCGACGCTGTGTTGCATTACAGTGAGACCATCATGTTCCTGCATGAGATTTTCCACCAAGGCTTAAAGGCCAGGATCGCTAACTGGCCCACTCTGGTGCTGGGTAAGCTTTCGCCTGACATCACACACACACACACACACACACACACATACACACACACACACACAGCAGGATGCATTGTATGCAGCCACTCGGTGACATCAAGGTCACTTTTGTCACATTTTCCCCACATGCAGATTGTCTTATTCAAATATTAGCCGTAGATACGCACGTACACACGCACACACACACACACACACACACACACACGCACACGCACACGCACACACAATCACTGTGCCGACAGACAATAAGCAGCAAGGCCACAAGACGTCCCCGCAGTTTCACCTCTGAAAACAGAGGGCCGGGCTCAGATTGACATCATCAAGGAAACTGCCAGCACACAGTAAATGGCAGCAAATGGCTTCAGACAAATTGATCAAAAGAGGAGAAGGCTCGACTGGTTTAAACATTCAATGGTGAGCCATGTCCCGTTGCCACATGATTAGGAAATCGATTATTTTCTTATCAATCTTGCCTATTGAAATCAGAAAAACCTGCCTTTGATTTAAAAATGTGGATGCCTTCAGTACAATGGCAAAGAAAGTGTGCATGAGATATGTCAGCGTTTTTTTAAAAACAAATTAGTCATAAATGAAATCATTTTATTAATTGCAAATTCATGAACATCCGCAAAATAGCATTGCCATACTTGACTTTTTATGGTAAATGAAAGGACTCAGCATGTGAGTCGAATGAATTGCTCGTTGTGTGTGGTAGTGTCAAGCTGATTGTCTACGTGGTTTCCAGCCGACCTTTTTGACATCCTGCTGCCCATGCTGAACATCTATCAGGAGTTTGTGAGGAACCATCAGTACAGCCTGCAGGTTCTGGCCAACTGTAAGCAGAACAGAGACTTCGACAAGCTGCTCAAACAGTACGAATCCAACGCCGCCTGCGAGGGGAGGATGCTCGAGACCTTCCTCACCTACCCCATGTTCCAGGTCGCTCCACACACAGACAGCCTGTTGTCATGACAACTCCTGCAGAAAACATTCATATTATTCTGGTAGTTTTAAAATACGTCTCTCGTCGATAATTTTTCGTCCCGTCACAGAAATGAAAACAGCCAAGACTAATGAAATGAATGAAATTTTTAACAATATTATAATTCATTACTTTGAATGAATTACAACAGAACATTTGTTCTAAATTATCTTCTGGTTCTTTCCTGTATAAGATCCCTCGCTACATCATCACTCTGCATGAGTTATTGGCACACACGCCTCATGAGCATGTGGAGCGCAAGAGCCTCGAGTTTGCAAAGTCCAAACTGGAGGAGCTGTCCAGGTAAAGATTTAGTTTTTGTCATGAACATCTATCCCATGCTGTGCGTTGTTTACACTGTTAAGTGATGCGTGTGCGTGTGCCTGTGTTTGCGTGTGTGTGCGGGTCAGAGTCATGCATGACGAAGTGAGCGACACTGAAAATATTCGTAAGAATCTGGCCATCGAGAGGATGATCGTGGAGGGCTGTGACATCCTGCTGGACACCAGCCAAACCTTCGTCAGGCAGGGTGAGTCTTCATCACTTCATTGGCACGTCCACATTTCAGTAACACATGCCTTGGGCAAAAAAAAAAAAAGGATCAAATGCTGAGTGGAACCTTCTTTGAATGGGCAAATTGGGCGAAAGTCTCATCTGTTGCCGCCTATTGTCCATTCAATCAAAGTACTTTTTTTGTGGTCGGATCAGAAAATGGATGGATGGATCCTTTTGAGCTGAGCGCGATGCTAAGCTAATGTCACTACTCTACATTACCTTTGATTGGACGCTCGCCCCCACTAACATTATTTTGATGGGAAAGTCGCCCCTGCCAAAATGGCCACCACCTGGGCCAATTTTTTTTAGCCTGCTCTAGTCTACTATCAGTTTGCTTATCGTCACTACTCTACATTACCTTTGATTGGACGCTCGCCTCCACTAACATTATTTTGATGGGAAAGTCGCCCCTACCAAAATGGCCACCACCTGGGCCGATTTTTTTAGCCTGCTCTCGTCTACTATCAGTTTGCTTATCTATGACGATTGACCGACGCAACATGGAACACTGTGGAAAATTGCGGTCATTGCTAGAATGAACAGGCTTTGGAAGATACTGCACCAAATTTTCTGTCCTTTGAATCGGGATCCATTCCATCAAGGTTCCACTGTACATTCGAAATAGTAATGGATGTGTTGAGAAACGGCGGTTTTGACTCAGATAGACACCCATGGACATTTTAAAGTGTTCAATGAACGAAATTAGTCACTTGAACCATCCAGTATAAATTCATCTCAAGTCTCTTGAAATAATTGCGCTCTCTTCAGGATCTCTTATCCAGCTGCCATCGGTCGAGCGAGGCAAGCTCAGCAAGGTGCGACTGGGCTCGCTCTCCTTGAAAAAGGAAGGGGAGAGGCAATGCTTCCTGTTCACAAAACACTTCCTCGTCTGCACGCGCAGCTCCGGCGGGAAACTGCACCTCCTCAAGGTGACACCAGCACCGCTTTCTTCAAGTACTTTTTCAATTTTCACTCACTCACGTTTGACCGCAGTTTTTGCTTGCAGCAAGGCGGCGTCTTATCCCTCATTGACTGCACTCTCATCGAGGAGACAGACGCTGGGGATGAAGAATGTAAGTACGGCCGCGCTTCAATGCAAGCATTTATCCTCTGTCACTAATAGTGCAGGTTATTTGGCTGTCAGCTGATTAGTGACCCTTAATGAGTTCTCTTTAAATATCAGCAGCTCTCTTTTAAAGGACAGGTTAAGATCTTTTGACATTAACGGTTCATTAATTTGATACATTGTGAGGATGTAAAAGCATACATAACATCCATGCTTTGAGTGAGGTGTGCATGAGGAGCGCCTAAGTAAAAAAAGGTAGATCTGACACTCTACTTTTGAAGTGTATGCTAAGCTAACGTCAATGCGTACCATTATCTTTGGTGGGGCAGCACTTGTGTGGCACTTTGCCAAGTTATGATCAATTCTGGAACCAACAGCACAAACAGCTACTTGAGAACGGGTATTTTGAGTGGACTGAACATTATTTTCTGCCTGTTGATTCTTGAATTGAGGTACCGGTACTATGCTATGTATGTACAATTTGATTGAAAGCATCGACTGCAGTGGAGACGTGTGTAAAACATAAAACACATAAAAAGTAAAACCAAAAAAAAGGAAAAAAAGAAAAAAAATATTTCATACAGAATAATTACAACAAAAGATAAAACATAATGCAAGAAAATAAAGAATAGAATTGTGGTCCAAATAGCACCGTTTTTTTCGATTCAGCCCTAGTGTAAATTGCTTTCGACTTTTTTCCCCCAGGTTGTGTGGAGTAGCTTTAAATTTCATGAACACCCCTTGCATGCTTCTTGATTTTTCAGCCAAAGCTGGAGGACAGGTGTTTGGTCAGCTGGACTTCAAGCTGGTGGTGGAGCCGGCTGATTCGGCTTTGTTCACTGTGGTGTTGCTGGCGCCCTCGCGGCAGGAGAAGGCGGCGTGGACCAGCGATATTAGCCAGGTGATACACACAAGAGAACTCACAGAGAATAACAAGAACCTCCAAATAGTGAGAGCGCGTCCCCGCTGGGCTTTGTCGAGGCTTAGTGATACGTAAACACAGACGTGGGTGCAGCTCCCTGGAGGTGAGTTCTTCTCGGCGCCTTCACAAACACACACAAGCTCCACGTAGGGGCGTCACAATTCATTCGAGAAGACTATTTATTTATTTATTTTTTCCCCCTCACTGATTCGGACTCTCCCAAAATTCTTTTTTTTTGTCTCCCCTTTTTGCGTCTTGTCAGTGTATAGACAACATCCGCTGCAATGGCCTGATGACCAGCGTCTTTGAGGAGAATTCCAAAGTCACCGTGCCTCACATGATCAAGTAAGTGTGTGAAGAGGAGGTGGCCATCTCTTCATGCGCATGCTGCAAAACATCAAGCACATGTGGGTGATGATGTTTTTAAACGTGTTGATTCTGACAAACAATTTTATTATTATTTATTTTTTTTAATATATTATGTTTCCTTTCTTGATTATTTTGGTTTCGGAACTCTGATCTGATTTGATTTTCATTCTTTCTTTGCAATACAGTGGAACCTCCAAGGTCGAACACAACCCATTCCAGGACAATTTGTGTGGATTTTGCAACAATAGTCCCCATTGGAAATTATGGATTGAGAATTAATCCATGGTCAAACTGGCCCCGTCATAAAACTTTTGTTAAGTGGACAGGCAATGTTTTGAATGTAAAAATAGGTTGTCAACTGTTGGTGTTACAACATAAACATAATAATTATTATCATTATATATAATTAGATATTTATACTGTAATTTTATTTGTATAGCAGCTTTCGAAACAAAGTTACAAGGTACTTAATAATGTCAGTGACGATTAAAATGTAAAACTAAGTCAATCACTTTTAATATTAAAACAAAGTAATCACATATAAATTTCAATGTTGTTAATTGTTATATAAGTGTAAAAATAAGCAAACTACTTTTAATTTTAAGACAAAATGTATTTTCATTTACCTGTTGTTAATTCTTATACAGGCATAACAATAAGTCAACCATTGTTAGTATTAAGACATTAAACAATTGTATTTTCATTTCAACATTAATTTTGTGTGGATGTAAAATCAAATTAAGCGCTGTTAATATTTTGACAAAAATATGACCTCATATTTTGATTTTAACCAAACATAGGTGGACCACTACTAATATTAAGAAAAATTAAATTGTATTTTAATTTGATTGTTGTAATGAAGGACATTCTCAGAATTAATTATTTGTTGCTTGATGAGCTAAAGTCTCGCATAATACCCCCCCCCTCAGTCCCTTGACAGGGAAATTTGAACTTGTGTGTTGCTCACATTCTGACTTGTACATTAACTTTAGAGGTTTCAGTGTATAATATTTAATTCAAATCCATTTTTAATTCAGCTCTTCCCATGCTTTGCAGCAGCAGTCACCCATGCTCGTGTGTTGTGTGTGTACGTGTGTACCTCATCAGATCCGATGTGCGTCTCCATAAAGATGATGTTGACATTTGCTTCAGCAAGACGCTCAACTCCTGCAAGGTCCCGCAGATCCGCTACGCCAGCGTGGAGCGTCTGCTGGAGAGGCTGACCGACCTGCGCTTCCTCTCCATTGACTTCCTCAACACCTTCCTGCACACGTACAGGATCTTCACCGCCGCCAGCGTGGTCATGGACAAACTGGCCGACATCTACAAGAAGCCCTTCTCCTCCATTCCCATCAGGTCACCGACCGCACACGAGCAAAAAAAAAAAAAAAACAAAAAACGCACAAGCCATGCAACTCGATGCACTGAGTAACTCCGATTAGTCATTTACAAAAAAAGTCAAAGCGGAATCTCCCCCTCAAAACTTTGCAGGAGATCTCTTTTTCCGCATCGATTAATGTTGCCGCGTGTTATTTCTATGCCATGTAGAAATAAGATGGGACAATAGCGGCGAGCCAGGAGGAAAGTGTAATAGTGTAAAGTGATAACCGATTAATTAGCTGATTAGTTTGGAAAAGACGGCATGAATAATATCCATAAGTTTTATTGGTTCCCTAACGCTTACAACAATAAATAGATGAATTACAGACAAAGTCCTGTGAGAGCATGTTGGTAGTGTGTCTGAAAGTGTTTGTGATGAAAGTGTTTCTTTCGTTTAAATGGGAGAGTTTTAGTCATGCATATGAGAGCATTTCAGCAGTGTGTATTCCAAAACTGGATGTGAATATTTCAATCGCCACGTGAGAGCCTTTCAGTGGTGTGTATGAGAGTGTTTCAGTAGTGTGTGAGACAGTTTTTTCATCATGTATGCAAAAGAAAAGACAATATAGTAAGTCATGTGTGAGAGTGTTTCATTAGTGTGTATGCAAGACGTTCGGTCTTGCAAGTGAGAGCGTATCAGTGGTGCATGTGAGACAATTTTAGTATGTGGGCGGGTGTTTCTACAGTGTGCGTGAGAGTGTTTTCGTCGTGAAAAAGAGTGTTTCAGGAATGTTTGTGAGACCATTTTAGTCGTGCATGCAAGGAAAAAAATCCATAGTGTGTGGTGTACTGTGTGTAACAGGCTTTGATTCATATGCATGAGAGTGTTTCAGTAGCGTGAGTTAGAGTTTTTCATGAGGGTTTGTTTATTTCAGTAGTGTGTGATGGCATTTTAGTCGTATGTTTGTGTGAGCGCAAAGAATTCAGAAGTGGTCGTGACACTGTGTGAGAGCAGTTCAGTATGAAGTGTGAGCGTCAATAATGTCAGTATTATGAGCATTTTCAGGAGTGTGTATGCCATTTTTACAGTAGTGTGTGAGTGTGTCATTTTGGTCATGCATGATAGCAGAAAAAATGAGTGTGGACGATACGAATGAAAGCAGTTTGAGTAGCGTGCGAGAGACGTAAACCCAAACGATCATGGTTTGGCTCCACAAGCTGTCCATAACTTTTCATTTCGTCCTTGTGAACAAATGACCTCATCTGACCACCGTTTTTCTGTGCTTTCAACACATTGGCAATTACAACACAACAACAGTGCTCGTGTTCCCCACCCCAACCCTCCATCCAACTGACGTTTCCTTGTCCTCGCCGGCCGTGTGTCCGCCATGCCGCGTCCAAACTGCAGGGCGCAGTACCACTCATTTGACCGTCTGTCCATCTCATCCGTCTGTCCCGACTACGGTCTGAAGATCAAGAAGATAGCCCTGGATCCGTCCAAGTAATCCTCTTCTTTGTCTTTTTGTCTCCTCCCTACATGCTCTGATTGTCCTCCTCTTTTCCTTTTGCCCACCCGATGCATGGCTCTCCACTGTTGTTTTTTGGGGATGATTGGACATCGGAGGTGGATCTCTGTTCGGCGGGGCATGTCGTGTTCTCGCTTTGAAAACATCCTTGCATCCGTAGTGGTTCACTACAGTCTCCTCCTTGCTGCCTGCAATAACCTTCTTTCTCCTTTCATTTCCCAATCTTGCCATGCAATTTCTGCTCGTTTTTCCTCAATGCTTGTGTTTAACGTCGACTACGGCTGCATCCGGTGCGATTGTTTTGATTCATGATCAAGGTTTTTGAAAGACGATCCAGTCGGGTGGTCGTTCAGGTTTTTTTTTTTCTTTGGAAGATATGGAAGAAAATTCAAACAGTGGTGCCTTAAAATTCGGCTCAGCTGTTTTCTGGCTTTTGGTATGAATTGTGGTTTGAATATTATGACTTCCCTTGTGTCCCAGTGGTTTTGTAAGCTCTGACTCCATGTCCTCTTTCAGGTCCTTGGAGTTGTTCTTCGCCACGAACCAGAACAACCGAGGCGGCGAGCACATGAATGACAAATCTCCTCGTCTCTGCCGCAAGTTCTCCTCTCCCCCTCCTCTCTCCATCTCCCCGCGCACTTCCTCGCCTGTGCCCGCCCGGAAGCTCTCCCTGCACTCGCCAGTCAGCGGCAGGGTGGGAGGGCTGGACCTAAGCGGCCCTCTCTCCGGCCTAAACCACAACACGTCCCAATCGGCCGCCGGCAGCCCCACGTCGGTCCACACCCCGCAGACCCCAACGCCGACCACCTCCTCTCCGCCTCCTCCTCCTCCTTCCTGCACTTTTCCACCACAAGACCAAGTGCCTCCCATTCCCTCGTCTCCCGAGCAGACTCCAAGCCTGAGCACGGAGGGGGAAGACGTGCCCAAGATTGACCCTTTTTGTGGCAAACTAAGACGGAGCATACGCAGAGGTCAGCAATCGTTCCTTGCAGCGGGGGGGGTCATTCCAGCGCTCGGTGTCAAATGTCTGGTGTTGCTTTGAGCAGTTTGTTGCTTTGAGCTGTCTCATGTTTTAAACACAATGTTTTGCAAGCTGTGAAGCCACATCCAATTACCACACACTCAGGTTGAATTAAACAAAATTGGTGGGAAAAAAAACGTGGCTGGTTTCCCCTAAATTATCTGAGCAGTGGATTTTTCGTAAAATCAATATTTGTTTTTCTTCCATTGACACTTACAATTTCATCACTTCAAATGTTAATTTAGAGCTTCAAAATTTCCATGGTGAAAATTACCTCACCTATACCTAAAACGCAAAACGTCTTAAATCTTGAGTATCCATTATTTTTCCTTCTGCTGCCAACAGTGAACGCAATTTGTTGGAGTGATCGAAATCAGAGATCAATAAATCAGCCCCCAAGACCCCAGAAATAAATATATAACTTTAACGCCATCTCCTTTTGGTCACATTGTAACCTGCAAACAACACACAAATTTAGCACGCTGTAATTTCTTGGTGTTTGCAGGATTTCTTTTTCTTTGCTATTTTAGTCAGGCTTTGCTTTAAGTGTAAAGTCACCACTCACTTTTTGTGAAGGATATGGACCTAAAATCTGCTAATTGATGCCAAATAAAATGCATTTTTAACCCCAAAAATTCTTTAGAGGTCCTTCGCGGCTGCTAGCTGCTGTGATGGCTAGCGCAGACCCGGAAACACAGCAGCCATTCGGAAAAATTTACATATTTTCCCGGAATTCCTGATGGCCACCCAAACCCTGTGTTAGTCCCTATTTGACACCTAATTGTCTTATTTTTGATCGGGCTGTTTTTAGCATTTGTGATTGCCTTGGCCTTGTTCTGCGCTGTACCAAGTGCCCACTCCAGATTCCACTTTGTCAAACTTTATTTGCGTATTAATCAAAAAGGGTAAAGGCCGGCTGCTGTGGCATCATTATCTCCTTCCATTTGTGCACGAAGCCCACCAAAGGAGACCTCTGAGGCTTCACTCGTCGGCTTCCCATAATTGCGGCGCTAAATGTCTCCGCGTGTGACACTGAGGAGCCAACGTTTCTGGACATCCTTTCATTAGCGTGCATGCGCCACCAGGCGTGTGCATGGGTGACACACATTAGAAAATGGGTGTCAGCTCCTCTGCGTATTTGCCTCATCACTCTTCACTATTCATGTTCGCCTGTGATCCTTTTATTGAGACGAAGACATAGTATATTTGGTATGCCCCCCCACCTACAAAAGAACAACAACAACAAACAACACTTTGATCCAGTATCATAAGAACAACAACAACAACAACAACAACAACAAAAAACACTTTGATCCAGTATCATGGATGTTCGTCATCATTGCTGTTGTCTATTGTAGCTGTCCTGGAGTCAGTGTCCCTGGAGAAAATCATTCCCGAGTCTCCCCAAGGCAGCGAAGCAGGAGACATGTCCCCATGTCGCTCGCCATCCACACCGCGACACCTCCGCTTCAGGCCACCGGGAGGTCAGATTTTACATTTTTGTGCTTTAACCCTTTCATGCACCCTGTAACCTGATAATATGATAAGCATATTTGAAAAATACTAACGTAAAAAGCTGTACTTCAACAATTTTGGGGGGGTTATTTTTTTGCACATTAAAAAAAATGTACCATTTTTCTTGTTGCCCGCATTATTGACTCCACTGATTTTCCTATGCCGCCACGACTTTATTAATATGTATTGTTGTTACTGTGGCATTGTTTTATTCCAGTATTTTATTCTTGACAAAGGAACCTTGATTCTTGAAAGCTGAGCAGTCATATACCCACATTTCAATTCAAAAATTCCCCAAATTACACTAACTCGATTTTCTGTATTACCAACCTTAAATTATTTACACGATGGCCAGATGTCAAACTTTTTCTTTGCCTCTTGTCATTGTTTTAATGCTCATGTTATGTTCCTGCAGTCCAGTCGGGGGAGAACTCCCGCTGCGCAGTTTCTCCTGCCTCAGCTTTTGCCATCGCCACCGCAGCAGCAGGGCATGGCACACCACCAGGTAGCGTGCGCACACACACGCCAGCGGCAGCAGGCTCACAAAGGGATGTAAATGTAAATATTTCCAATGAAAAGCCATTCACTGTGCACTGCCCCTTAAATAAAATCTACATGATGATGTTGATGATGGAGAAGATTTTTTTTTTTTTTTGCACAGCGTTCAACAACCCCGAAAGAACTTGCGATAAAGAGTTCATCATCCGACGGGCTGCAACCAACAGAGTTTTAAACGTGCTGCGGCACTGGGTCTCCAAGCACTCACAGGTGTGTGTGTGTGTGTGTGTGTGTGTGTGTGTGTGTGTGTGTGTGTGTGTGTGTGTGTGTTTGTATAACATCACTTGACTCAAGTCGCACTATATTTAGTGCCGCTGCATTCATCTCTTCTGCCCCTCATCCTTGCACAATAAGTTCTTGCGGCAACCTCGCATCTACTGTTATACAGTCAGTTGGGTCAGTGTCATGAATAACGCACTTCTCTGTGTAGACGTGCGCCCCCGTTCAACTGCATCGATCCGCTTCCGTGGCTTTTCTTCAATCATATTAAACACTTGGTTAGGCCTCCTATTACCGACACACGCGCGCACGCAAATGCACATGTTGAAAAAGGCCAAAGGAGCTTGTTAGAAGTGACCTTTGGGAAGGCGTGATGGCTGAGAAGGAAAGAGGGGAAATGGTTCGGGAAGAGTGGAAGGTTAGCGGACATAAACAATTTCACAGTGGTGACTGATAATCACTCACAAGGGGGGACTAGACAAGAAAATTCATCATCGGAGGCTTCAAAAAATGGCAAGGGGCACTGAATAAATTCAAGGAAAGTCAAAATTAAAGAAATAAAATAAAATTTAGGAATGGAAATAAATATCAAAAGAGGTAGAAATATGTAGCACTGAATAAAAATGAAAAACAAGGTATGATGTATATCAAATATAAAATACAGTATACATTATAAATAAATAAATAGACTAACAAACGGTATGTCAAATGTCATCTTTAAGATGCTATTTTCTAAGTATGATTTAGTCTCTTTTTGTTCTGAGACTTTTTTCTTTTTTTTTTACTTTATTCTTTCACCTGGTGGAAACATGGCAGTCCATGTATTATCTTGTTTCCACCAGTAAATATATATTTTTTTTCTTTAAAAAAAAATCCAACATTATCCTCGTTTCCCATGAGGGATGTAGGGAACGTAACAATGAGATGAGATACTATTTCAGAAGTATGACTTCAGTCAGCCACCAAAAAAACAAAAACAAAACGCTTGAGCGACGTGTAAGATTTATTTTCTGCCCCATGGGAATCTAAAAGTAAGCTTTATGAATGTATCGTGTACTCATACATGACAAAATGTCATAAAGGGATGTGAAATATACCATTCCCACCAACATTTGTGATTATTATTATTTTTTTTTAATTGGTAATAACAGGCTTCCAAGTATGGAAGGGAATGAATATAAAAACGAATGAAAAAATAAATATAATGGAAAAAAATTTCTTAATAATTATAACAAAAGACAGAAGGCAAAAATACTGTCTAGGCAAATAAAGTAAAGGCATATGAAATAAAATTATTTTGAAATAAATGTTTAAAAAAATATATCCTTTAAAACAAGTATTTTAAAAAAGCTATTCTGAAAAGACAATAAAAAAGTGGTTATTTTCAGCTGTGATGCTTTTCTCCCATATTGTATTTGCTTTTTCACTAAAAATGTTGCCAAGGTGTTATTTTATTTATTTATTTTTTATTTTTTTCTAAAAACCACCAAAGCTAATGCGGCGGATCTTACATACACATGGTATTGATGTATGGATTCTAGCTTTTTGAATCTAAGTAAATATGACTGAATTTGAATTCCACAAAATCAGCCTTTTTGTGAATATTGACACGTGATGTGAATAGTTCGAGTTAATTTTTTGTTGTTGTTGGATTTGTGCAATGAGGACTTTGAAATGAACGGAGAACTGAAGATGTCAGTCATCTGCCTCCTGGAGGAAGTCCTCCGAGACCCGGACCTTCTGCCGCAGGAGAGGAAGGCCACTGCCAACATACTCACACCCACACACACACACACACACACACACACACACACATACACACACACACACACACACACACACACACACACACACACGCACACATTCTGCCTGTTGTTTTATTAACAACACAGGTAGGAATGTAAAATATTCCATGTGATGCATTGCTTTTTATATCATACGTTGTAAATATGTATTTCCCGCTGACAGTGTCAATCAGAAATGAGCGTGATTAATTGTAGCAGTACATGTCAATAAAATTTTACCTTTCAAATAACATCACTTTGTTTGTTTGTTCCTTTTAGTGCCCTCTCTCAAGACGAGCAAGATGACGCCCAGCTGAGGATAGAAGACATCTTACAGATGGTGACAAAACATACACACACACACACACACACACACACACGTACACACGTACACACACAACACAAACTCTCTTTGGTCAACACATGATGTACCCCTGCAGAATTAAATGACATTCAACACTCATTCAATTGTTCCCCTACTTGAGTGGGTCGCAGTTGACAGCAAACTTTTCGGTTAGTCCATCCCACTGAGATTGAGCTAGTCTTCATTTTGTTTTGAACATGTGTGTTTTACGAGGACTCTTTCTTTTCCGAAAAGGGCCTCCCCGCTGTACTTAAATATCGATACTCGCGGTGTGCACTGGTACAACTTTAATTTCCCTGGTTACTCTCCAGCACAGCTCCCAGAATAGTGGGACCCTCAGTTGTCCTCATCAAGTAATGGCTGAGAAGTGCGCACTCACACACACACACACACACACACACACACACACACACACACACACACACACACACACGCGCGCACACATACATACACACACACACACACACACACACGCACGCACTCACGCTCCAGGACACACATTGGCACTTCCTCCAGACAATGACCATAAAAACTATTCTTCATCATCAAGTGTGTTATTAGATACCCAAGAATGAGCCTCTGCATATTTGTAGTTAGACGTTCCGTTTTTTTGTGGTCCTTTTTTTTTTTTTGCCACCATACAGCCACCGTACCTCAGATTTTTGCTCGCAAGTTAAAGCAAAATTAAGTAAGACAGCAAAATTCTTCAGATGGATCACTCATATGTGAAGGCGCCACATTATCTACTTTTTATTTGCTTACTCCGGCAATGTTCTCCTGATTGTCCATGTAATATTTGTGCAAATTCACATGCATATTCGTATTTGTGTGGGTTCAGGCAGACTGTCCCAAGGCAGAGTGTTTCGAGTCTCTGTCTGCTATGGAGCTGGCTGAGCAGATCACGCTGCTGGATCACATCGTCTTCAGGAGCATCCCTTACGAGTCAGTCATCTCCCCATGCTGGTGTAGAGACATTGACGTATAAACAGTTGGATTGGATTTATAATGCATTGTTTCCCCGGTCGTTCGCATCCATGCTATAATGCATTTTCAAAGCCATCTATGTGACAGTTTTAGGAAAGTGCTAAATAAATAAATCAAAGTACCATATTTTCTGCACTATAGTCGCTACGGATTATAAGGCGCACCTTCAATGACTGGCCTATTTTAAAACTGTTTTCATATACCTGTATAGGGCACACTACCCTATACAACAGTAGTTGTCTGTTTGAGTGCTTGTCAATTACTGTCAGTCAAGCCCTTTTAGGTTACAATCGGTTCCTGCTGATAATCACCACTAGATGGCATAGGAACACTAACAGGGAAAACACTCAATGAGGACTCTAAAGAGACTGTGACACCCTGTGTAAGGCGCATCGGATTATAGGGCGCACTGTCGGCTATTGAGAAAATGGAATGCTTTTAGGTGTGCCTTATAGTGCAGAAAATACGGTATGTTTAAGTCAACGTCTGTAATGCGTCTTCCAGTCTCCTTCGTGTCTTTGTCAGATGAGACACAATCATTAGGTTACTTTTTGGGTGATTCCTTTTTCCGATCGGCATCCTCCCTCCCTTAGAGAGTTCCTGGGCCAAGGCTGGATGAAGTTTGACAAGACAGAGAGGACCCCATACATCATGAAAACAAGTCAACACTTCAATGATGTGAGTGTTCTTAAAAACTTTTTACTCTCCTATACAGGAGCTGTGGCCAAAACATTAGTCAATATCTCAAGGGCTGCATTTGATGTTTTAAACGTACCCAGCAGGTTATTCGTACACTGTAAAAACCGGGCTTAAGAAGAATTTATTGCCATTATAATTGGAGAATAAATATATTCATTTGTCATTATAGTTAGTTCAATTTGAATTAATCAAGCAATAATTTAACAAAATGAGGAAAAAATCTCCAATGTATATGTACATTTGTTCTTTGTTATTACTTACAATCACTTACCAACTATTTAGCGCGATACATGAATAAAGAAAATCTAAAATACAAATGGAAACAAAAGTAAGTTACCAATACTTGGAAACAATATGTTAAATGAATGAAACACATTTTGACTTATGACAATACCAACGCACTGTGGGCCAGATTGATGAATGGAATGGGCCGTAAGTGCCCCACGCACCATATATTTTCCACCTTTACTATAGACTGCATGCATTAATTTTATTTTTTTTTTAACTTGTGTTTGCAGATGAGTAACCTCGTGGCGTCGCAGATCATGACCCACACCGACGTGGGCTCCAGGGCCAGCTCAATAGAGAAGTGGGTGGCCGTGGCCGACATCTGCCGCTGCCTCAACAACTACAACGGCGTCCTGGAGATCACGTCGGCGCTCAATCGCAGCGCCATCTATCGCCTGAAAAAGACCTGGGCGAAAATCAGCAAGCAGGTGATCGTCACACCAGCGCTGTTGACAGAGAAGCTCATTGGGGGTTTAACCCTTTCAGGGACAGTGGTTACTACGGTGGATCTGGTTAGAACTCCATCGAAAATTGATGAGCACCCACTAACCCCGCCAAAAGTGGGCAGACTTTATCAGTGGCGGGAGACGTGGTCACTTCCCCTTGCTACTTTGTTGCGGTGTGCATACCTCGTTTTGATCAATGAAAGACTTGCCTTGTGAAATGAATTGTCCATTTTTCTTGTCTAACCAGATGTGCATCTTGGTCGTGACTGACTTCATTTTCTGCCGCACAGACTAGAGCACTGATGGATAAACTGCAGAAAACGGTGTCCTCGGAGGGAAGGTTTAAAAATCTGAGGGAGACCTTGAAAAAGTGAGCCGTCTTGAAATCCTCAACTTACTGAACCAAATTTCAGTCATCGCACGCCTCACGCTGACCACTTTTGTTTGCCCCCTCAGCTGCAACCCTCCGTGTGTGCCCTACTTGGGAATGTATCTGACAGACTTGGCCTTCATTGAGGAGGGAACGCCCAACTTCACAGAGGAGGGTCTTGTCAACTTTTCCAAAATGAGAATGGTACAGTACATTTATGCCGGTCAAAAGGTGGAATGCGACCTCTTCATCCAATCACCTGACAGCAATTGAACATTTCTTCACAGATTTCACACATTATCAGAGAGATCAGGCAGTTCCAGCAGACGCCCTACAGGATAGAGCATCAAGTTAAGGTAAATGACTCTCAAGTTTGGCTGTGACCAGCCAATCAGAGGATGGGGAAAATGCTGATGTAACTGAGAGACCACTCATTGTTTCTGGCAGGGTAAATTTGAAATACGATTGGTTAAAGAAGTAGTTTCCTTGCAATGTAGTTTAAGTGACATTGGCCGGCACTACTAATTCTGAAGGCCCTGGGCAGATTGGATTGACAGCATAAAAATCTGATTGGACAAAAAAAATAAAAAATAAAAATTCATTTTTCACTTTTAACCCAACTATGCAAGACATAATACTGTTGCCGTGCAGGTGACCCAGTACCTCATGGATAAGACGCTGATCATGGACGAAGATACTCTCTATGACCTCTCGCTGAAGATTGAGCCCAGGCTTCCTGCCTGATCAATAACGGCCTTTGGCGAGCGGGAGCCTGCCAAACTTGGACCCCACCCACCCCCCAATGAGGTCCACGCTATCATGTGATGTCAAGCGATCGAATGAAGAAAAAGCCTGGGAAAGCTTTTACGATTGTAAGCGTAATGCTGGGAACACTTGATTCGAGCGACTGGGCCGATGGTCCTCAAGGACGGCATGAGGGAGATGAGCTTGAGGGTTTTGAGGAAACGGTGTGCCGCGCCGCCGCCCGCATTCGCCATTCCTCAGCGTGGTGCCGCTCGGTGGACGGAGTGGATCGATCGAAATGTAGCATACTGAGCGGGCGTGACAGCGAGTTACCTTAGCTAACGTCTCCGTGTTGTCGTCCGCGTTGTGTTGCGCTGCGTCCATGTGCAAGAGCCGACGCCCCCCCAAAAATGCTTTCTTCTGCATGATTTCAGTTTGGGGGTGTAAATGTCTACATGGCTTCCAGCTGCATCTCTGACTCCAATTTAACACTATACATCCTCGGTGGGCTGGGTAGGGCATACATGCCCTAAACCCATGAAATATAATTGAACGCGGGGGTATTGAACCTGTTTATACCACAGGCCACATTGTAGTTGGGGTAATGATACAGCTTGGTTTTAAATTCAAAGTTTGGTTCACATTCAGAGCTGTAAGGGAATACTGTACATTGCAAAACAAACCCAAACCAGAACAGATTTAATGACAGCTTCTTAAATCTTTTCTTTTTTTAGGACATCTAAACATCAATTGTTTTACATAGAATGAATTATTATGCTAAACACACAAAAAAATAGGCATCACAGTGGTCTAGTGGTTAGCACATCGAGGCTGCGGCATGTTTGCATGTTCTCCACATACTCTTGCTTCCTTCCACATACACACATGCATGTTAAGGTTCATGAAACACTCTAAAAATTGTCCAAAAGTGTGAATGGTTGTTTGTCTCGATCGACCTTGCCATTGATTCTACCAAGGTGTAACTCGCCTCTGGCCAAATATCAGTTGCGATAAACTCAGCTCGCCCACGACCCAAATCTGGAGAAGCGGTTGAGCGAATGGTCGAATGGCACATTTCTAATAGCATTTCTTACTGCACAGATATTTATGTCTGCAGTGATCATTTGAAATTATATTGCTGTTCTGCCAAAAGTGTGTCTCGAGCCCAAAATCTGAGCCACACTGTGTTTGTTTACAGACTAGGCGCACGGCTTGGGAATCGGGCAGTTGCCCTTTCTTTTAACTAATATACTCTTTGTGTGGGAACCCTAATAATGGCCCCCATCATCCTACTGAATTGTCCTTTCATTTTAGCAGAAGTCAAGGAATCGTGAGGATAAACGGATCAGATAATGGATGGATGGACGTCCTCAACCATTTTTACATGTATTTAGAAATAAATATATTCTTTCACATAAGGTTCAGATATTTTAATAAATGGCTGACTATATAGATAGAGATTTTTCACCTCCCCTCTTTTGAAAAATGAATGATAAAATTGTAAAATGTCAGGAAACATTGTTTTTTTTCCAAACGCAACTCCCGTTAATCCACGGGATTACTGTCGTCGATCAAATGGACACCTCGTGCTTGTTCTATTATCGTCGGCATGTTCGTGCAACAATTGATAAACCAATAGCGCCCTCTAGTGGTGTACCGTGCTCTGTTAAGCATTTTGAATACAGTACATGTTCTGACTTGGACAGTCTGCTACATTGCGTCACGTGTGAAATTGGGCAATTTTTTTGCACTCCGAGATGTAGCTTTGCTTGAGTGATGTTATGGCGCTATTATGACACGTTTTGATTTGGTTTGTCCTTTTTTTTTCGGGGGCTAGGGTGACTCCCCATGAGTTGGGAAATATCTTAAATTGTTCTGGTGTGAATATTAATTTGAATGTCTCGCGTCTCCGTTGCTCTTCTGGATTGCAGAGCAAGAAAAAAAAAAGTTGTTTGAATGTTTGGAAAAAAAATGTAGCATTTGAATAATCAAAATTTGTGTTCTGTATGCTGATCTGATGAACATAGTTGTCCTGCATGTAAACAAACAACTGCATGTCGTGCATGTCTGATGGCCCCTCCGCTTCTGGATTGTCACGGTCTGTGTGTGTGTCTGTATGTAGCTGTCAGGAGGCACACGTTTATGTTGCTGTTCCTTGCCAGGTCCTAAAATTGCCTGTTATTCTTTTTGTACTGCACTTTGCCATTTGAAGTGCCAGTCTGACACTCTGGGGTGGGGGGGTGGGGGGGTGTAATCATGGATGCTGAGTTTGTAATGTAAAAGTCCTATTTTCGCGTCTGTGTGTTTGTTACTACTGTATCAGTCTGCATTTTTTTTCACTTGCTGGTGCAAGGGAAAATAAATCAACATGCCTTAAGTGTTGGATTATTTCCTTCTGACACTCACTGACTTCCTGCTCACCCTCGTAGTCAGAAGTTTTACACAATTTAGTGTGGAGCTTTCATGACAGTATCTTCTTTGTAGTGGACTCTTATGGCCTCCATGTTCCTTTAAGGCCATTGTTCTCATGACAATCGAGACTTGTGGTAAAATATACACACAGCTGCAACCTTCATCACATACCATGCCAAATCTATCAAACTATTGAGGATAACTTCATTTTTCATAAGTATCCAAATACCAAGGTTAGATTCCTCATCATCCATGCATTTTCTTTCGTGCTTGACCTCAGCGTTTTTAGAATTGGAAGAACCATTCTTACTGGATTATCTCATTCAGATCGGAAAGTAGAGGAAAGTTCCTCAGCAAAAACCAGAATCCAATGAAGCCTGGACTCTTTCTCGCATCCTCCAATTCAAACATGCTCAAGGCGTGTGAGGCCTTGACTTACAAACAACTTTTCTTTGCAGGTCTTCTGTGAAAAAGCAGCATTTGCTTTTAGCACAAACAACACTTTGTGAGGTGATTAGCGCGTCGACCTCACAGTGCAGAGGTCGTGGGTTCGATCCTTCCTGTGTGGAGTTTGCATGTTCTCCCCGGGCCTGCGTGGGTTCTCTCTGGGTACTCCGGTTTCCTCCCACATTCTAAAAACAGGCTGATTGAAGACTCTAAATTGTCCCTGGGCGTGAGTGTGAGCGCAGATGGATGTTCGTCTCTGTGTGCCCTGTGATTGGCTGGCAACCGGTTCAGGGTGTCCCCCGCCAACTGCCTGAAGACAGCTGGGATAGGCTCCAGCACCCCCCACCCCCCAGCGACCCTTGTGAGGATAAAGCGGATCGGTGGATCATATACAGTGGTGGTCTCATTCACATACCTTTGTAAAACACTTCACCTTTGTGGTAAATTGTTCCCAGAATACGTGCAATCTATTCTACAGTCGGTGTTGTTGTTGAATGGGGGGGTTGACCTCTAGGTGGAGCAACTGATCCATTAAATTGCCCGAGATTTGATGTGGCCGAGCATCTGGGCTCGATTTCCAGTATACCTGACCTGAAACGTGAAAAGACAGCAACTGTCAAGAACGGATTCGTCTCTTGTACAAGGCAAGTCAGTCATCAGTAAGACTGAAGACTCAAAGCAAAATTGAAATTCATACAGTAGGTCATTGTGAATGGTCATTTGTCTTGATGTCTCCTGCGATTGGCTGGCGACCACTCCGGGGTCAACCCCACCACCACATGCACAAAGTCGGCTGCAGCTCAACTGGCACCCTAATGAAGATGATCACGACAGAAAATGGGTGGCGGGATCATGTATTCATCATATTAGGCCAATGAAATCTTGAGTTTAATCTCATTTCAGCCGATTGTCAAATCAATGATGAAAGATTTGTAGCGGAGAGAAAATTGAACAAGGATAACCCGCAAAGGCGAAGAAGCAGACGTTTTTGGCCTCATTTTAAACACTTCAAAGATCATCTGACATGAATAATTGCTAAATCTGTACTGAACCGAAGAAAACACACAACGCGGATTTAGATTTACGACCTCGCGCTGATCTTCTCCTTCCTCGACAGTGATGTCATTCATAGCGCCGGCTGCCACACTTCGTAACATGGCGCTATTGTGAACGATTATGTCATGAGCTTCACAATTTGTCTAAAAATAATCACTTGTCTTAATTAGTTCCTTCATGTAAAATGTTCTTGCTGTCTTCCAATAACTACAAGCACAGTTCCAAGGCAGTTTCTCGTTGAGAAATCCTGAAAAAGTAAAAATCACAATCTCTTGATCTATCTACCTATTGATCGATCGATCATCTCTCTCTCTCTCCATCCATTTTATTTTACGTAATGTTCTGCATACTTTTGCAACAGCCTCATAACCCAAGTCACTTGACGACTTTTAGCACCAAATAGACTTCGGAAAATGAGTTGGCAACACTGATTACCACCGATGGGAGCACTCACACAGCACAAGAGGTGTCCTGGCTGGTCGGCTAAATGAATGAATTAGATCTCAGTTGGTGGTTAACCTGGCATCCACTTTGTCCTTTCCAAGGCCTTTATTTAATCCAGGTTCAAACGTCCAAAGCGTATAATTGATAAGCAGGAGCTAGGATAAACAAATCCAGGCTCATCCTAACAAACCGCTGCTATGTTCATCTTGTTTCTGCTCATTTAGAAGTGAGGATTAGGCTTAGTAAATAAAGGCGTCCTGCCATGTGAAATTACTGTTTTAATTATTTTATTGAACACCCCTTTTAAATCCTGCTGCTTAGTGTTCACTCTTCCTTTTTGTGAGGCAGCAGATTAATGACGTATTAATGCTCTTTGAGCTGCGGGAAGACAGAAACAGGCATCCGTGTATTGGTTGCAAATGAATACGGGATGAGGTTCAGATTTTTTGGTGCTCACTAAAATTGGATACAAGCGGAAGCTAAACAGTAGCATCAGAGCACAAGTCACACGTTTTTTTTTTTTTTTAAAGGACTTCATGCAAAGTCAGTCTCATGTTACAAAAATATGAATTTTTTAATCGAATTTAGAACATGTACCTCATGGGCAATAGGTAAAACAAGCAAACATAGCGCTTCATGTTAGCATTTCATATGATGTTACTGTTTGCTATCCATCATGTGGATTATTATATGGTGCTAAAATGTACGTTCCCAATCTGTATTAAGTGTCACAAATGGTGGCGTGACTGTCGCCGCATAATTTGTATCATTCTATGATGTTGCGACTATTTGAAGTGCACGTGAGAAAGAGTGTGCATATTTCTCGGTGCCGCACTTTATGTTTGTTTATATTCCTCCATTTTTAGCACAATTCAAGATAATGTCCAGATTTGCATACTTTCTGCTAGTAGTTGAAGTTCAAATTTGATTTGAAAAAAAAAAAAAGCAACAATTTTGCAGTGCAGCCAAGAGAAATACGACGAATGAAGAGAATAGACTGTTGGGAATAAATTAATATGTGCTGGAGCCTATCCCAGCGGTGTTTGGGCAATAGCCGGGGGGACACCCTGAACCGGTTGCCAGGCAATCGCAGGCCACACATAGACGATCAACCGTCCGCGGTCACATTCACATCGAGGGACAATTTAGAATGTTCCATTAACCTGCCACACATGTTTTTGGAATGTGGGAGGAAACCGGAGTACCCGGAGAAAACCCGCGCAGGCATGGAGAGAACATGCAAACTCCACACGGGAAGGCCGGCGCTGGAATCGAACTCTGCAACTCTGCACTGTGAGGCCGACGTGCTCACCAATCTGTTTACATGTTCAATAAACAAAGAAACAAGCAATAGGGGAAGGCCTTGCTGACCCTGACCGCTCACCACTCCTGATGTCTGACCACATAACATGCTCAATGATGGAGATAACCACTCCCATTTCCAAGGAGAGACCTCAAGCACCCTCCCTCTTTCTCCCTCCTCGACGGCTTCCAAAGTGCAGTTCATCCTCTAATAATGAAAAGTGAAAATTGCAGCCCGTCAAGCGAAAACGACATCCGGCGGGTAATTGAATCATCACCGTTGAGCAGGTTTGAGATGAATCCCCCGTAAGGAGAAAATCAAACGGTTGGCAAGAATGTCGAGCGGAATAAAGCACATGTGCCGTAATCCCATTAAGAGCTGCACATTCATGCACACTGTACACTCTGCGGAGGTCACAAACAAACACCCAACAGTATTAAACATGCATGTTAATTCTCATCATAAGCCGTTTTCATTATGGCTCTGAGCAGCGACTATCAAAGCCTGTGGAACATAACCGCAGACATGTTTTTAATGAGGAAAGCAAACATACAAACAATGTCAATGACTGTCTGACTCATTGTTCTTTGTTCTAAAATTACACTTAGGAAGTTTTGAATTACAGTGCCTGCAATTAAGCCTTTCATATAACCTAATGACATGATCTCTCCACTGTTGTAACCGCTGTCCCTGAAAGGGTGAAAACAAAAAACACGCAGTTCTCCGAATGCAATGGAAGGCGTTTCTCCATTAATAAAACAAACAGAAACAAGAACAAAACAGACCATTCCGAATTTGCTTTTGTCATGCATTGTTTTTATTTATTTTCAAAATGCTCATGGCAATACAAAGAATGATATGTCAGAAATATTACGCAGAATTTTAAAACAATAAAACACAACACCATTTTTTTTTTGTCTTTAACATACATACATACATACAGACACAAAGGTATTGTTTAAATAAAGATCACAACTGTCAGTTAACTCATTTGCTGCCAACTGTTCTCAAACTGCCAAGGTCTTCATATTGCTACTTGATTTTGAGCTTTTTGACGGATCTTTCAAGGCCAGGTGGCTCGAATCAAACATAAGTGGCTTTTTAAAATGGCATTCCTCTTTCGCTCTAGGGACGGCATCATCTTTATTCACATTCGCAACGCATACTTCTTACATCCTTCTGTGACACATACTCTGTTCATACCACGCGCACTGTATAAATACCTCGTTCGAGTGTCAGATTTCTAAACTTGTCCAACTTTAAATGTTTCTCGTTTCTCTCCCTCGGTGTCAACGTGTCAAGCCGAGATTGATCGCCTAATCTTTATCTTCTACTCTAAAGTTGTGCTGATTTCAAATCCGAAGTGGGGCAATGCCGCCATCTATGTGGATCTGTGAGTCATTACGGTCTGCGTACAAACTTGAATTTCACAGACAAACTGGGCGAGGCTCTCTTTGTTGTCTAACCATTGAAAATGTCACTCAATGAATATATACGTTGATGACCGTAAGCGGTTAGATTTCATTTGACGAATAATAAAACAAAAACCTCAGTGATTGAATTAACCTTTTCATGCACCCTGCAACCCGATAACATGATAAACTGTCCACTGTAGTAACCGCTGTCCCTGAAAGGGTTAAATACAGACCGAAAAAAAAAAAAACTTTTACATCCTGTAAACAAACATATTAACAGATTTTTCGTGAATTGTGCAGTTTCACTCCACATTGCACATGTTGTCCAGGCTGTTCTCTTGAGCTTCGGGCAGCTGGTGGCGTTCGAGTAGTCGGTAGCGGAAAGACACACGGTTGATGTAGTTGCCGCTGGACACCAGCCTCACCACCGAGTTATCACAACTGATCTTCATCTGGGCTGAGGAACCACACGGACAACCACAGATGGAACTCATGGACCAATTCATTCAAGGCCCCTCTGATATGATGCATTCTAGTCCTACACCAGCAAAAAAAAAAAATCCAACTTAACCCTTTCATGCACCCTGTAACCTGATAACATGATAAGCTGTCCACCGTAGTAACCGCTGTCCCTGAAAGGGTTAAAATCACACCATAAACATACTGTCAAATGAGATCATGTTCAAAGGAGGACCTAAAGTTGTGCCTTTTAAATCGTTGCAAACAATCCAGACAAGTCGCTATTATTCATCACTTTACGGTGGAATTTGTAGCTGGCAGGTTTTGAGATTAATGAGCTTGAATGTTTTCTGTGGACATTTTGGGACAGCTTGTGGGGTACGCCAAGCTAACAAGCGCACTCATTTACATTTTACAAACAGGAGAAAAACAAACACATTCAAAAACTAATCTGACAAGCAGAACGTGCAAAAGCATTGAGCCATAAATCTGTGTGACACTCTGAAATAAAGCATAGCTGTGCTCCAGAAAGTTAAATGTACATTTTGGAGGCTTTTTACTTTTGTTTTTGGGCATAGCAGGTGTGTCAGAAAAGTTCCAGAATTGGTGTTATGGAACATTTCTGACACACCTCATAACAATAAAAGGAAATTGGAAATACATGACTGTCGATCACCACGACAGTTTTTCAACATGTTGAAAACACAACTGAAGTATCCACTGGGGGAGCAGTTGAACGCATTGCCAAAAAGTCTCATAAATTACAAACATAACTACAAATTTTTGACAATAAAATATTTTCTAGCTAGCTACCCAGCTAGCTATTGGGTAGCTAGCTAGCTAGCTACCCAATAGCCGTCAATGTGTTGCCAACAAGGTGCCAAAGTTTGGATTTGGTTGTGCCAACTTGTGATATTCACAGTAGAGCAGATGATGGACTTACCGAGTCCACTGAGAGGAAAACACAGATCAGCAACAGGGAACATGCGTGACGTGTCTACGCCGTTTCCACCCAGGAGCTCCACATAGTCACCGGAACCCGAACATCCAGATGACAGCCTCGCCTTCCCAAAGAAAAACAACAAAGGTGTGACAACTTGCATGCAAACAGCGCGATGTGTATATTTTCACGATTCATTTGGATTACAAAAATAGTTGCAAAAATAGTGGCAGCAATTGCTTGAACTTGCAAAGGCAAACTTCAGATACAGTTTCAGAGTGTTGAAGTTTACTGTCAAACTAAACATCAAACAAAGAGAACTATCACTGTTTTTAAAGTAACCAAACTACAGTGCCTTAAGAATGGCCCATGCTAGCAAGTTAGCATAAAATGGAAACCTCCCTTGACATGCTAATGGTTAGAATTGATAATTGCAGTTTTACAACCCTTTCAGCAAGGGATATTTGAACACATCTGCTGGAACAAAAAATGTACACACATAAAATAACAATACTCACAGGCATATACAGTGTATTTTTTTTAATAATCTGACTTCCAGCAACTTGCTGAGTAGTACAACCAGAAGAAGAAAAAAATGTGCATCTTTTCTCAAATATAAACCTATCAATATCCAAATCTGTGTAAATTATACTTGCGCAGTGGGCCCTAAATTGCTTCCGTATAAACTGTACACACTGTATTCGAAGCACACAGGCGGGTCTGACCTTGGGCCTGAGCTCGTTGCTTTTGGCCTGCTCCAGGCTGAGCTGTGCCAGTTGGATCTCCACCGGGTAGATGATGGAGAAGCTGCAGTTCCTGTGCTGATGAGGCATCACCATGGTGAAGCTGCCCTCTGGGCTCTGAGACATGATGTTGCATGCTGCAACATGCACACACACACACACACACACACACACACACACACACACACACACACACACACACACACACACACACACACACACACAATATGTCACAAATTGGACATAATCAGCATTATTGTATCCTGTTAACATCAACTCTATTCTGGAAGATGCCTTTTAAGACACATTATGGGAAATGCAGTACAATATACTGCATTTAGTAACTCCCTGGACATCGCACATTTCAACTATCGAGCAGTCGAAGCATCTTATTTTCTCCAGTCAAACAGCAAAGAAAGTTTCGAAGAGTAATAAATCAATTTGGAGGAGTATATTTCGCCAGTGATTCCCACCCACTGTGCTGCCATGAGAGTTGATTAGATATGTCACAAGAAATGACACGATTTCATTGAAATTACCTGAAATTATTTGTTTTTGACAAATACGCTGCTGTAACTTTGTTTAGTCATCGATGCCGATGAGTGACATATAGTGACAGAGCAATTCAATCCTATTTGAGTAGCCTGTGGATTGCTCTGTTGTCATCCATACAACAGCAGAAAATTCGCAAGTAAATTCAGGAAATCATTTTCCAAAAACTGTAAAGCGCTTTGGGCACCACATGCGCTACTCCATTTACAATGTATGTACGTACTGTATGTATGTGTGTATGTATGTATGTATGTATGTATGTTTTTATTTATTTATTTATGTATTTATTGACATTTTAATTGGTGATTAGTCCACGTGTGAGCAGCTGGGCGTGAGTTGTAGCCTACAGCTGCTCCCTGTGAGTGTTTAAGCATTCATTCGTAAGTGGCGGCACTCGTAAGTTGCGTTAACATTGTAACAAACAATCAGATGGACTTCAAGGGACAGTCTGTAGCTGTCGCTCCCATCCAAAACAAGCATTTTTTTTTTTTTTTTTTACACCTGAGTGGTATTTGCTGGTCAGTTCTCGCTTGGCTGCCACATTGTGATTCACACAATGTTGACAGCATGTTTGTCCGGCAGGCTAACAACAGGTGCATACCTCTTCTTCTCGCTCTTGGCAATGACGCACTAGTGAGTGTGAAATGTGCAACAAGTGCACCGCCGCCCTGAGCCCTCGCTTAACCTCGAAACATCCACTCATAAGGAAGCTGTTTCAAACGATATATTCTTTGACGGGCACTCACGAAAAGGGTTGGGCAGCTTCTTCACCACGAGGGTGAAGCCGCTGTCGGGGTTGTGGATGCGGAAAAAAACCATGGCGACGTTCTGGGATGAGCGACTGGCGTGGCTCGGCGGCGTGGACGAACAGATGTCCGTGTAGCGCTGGTGAAGAGGCAGTGGGTGGTCCTGGCTACTGGGAAACTTCTCCCCCTTCAGTACCCAGCCGTCAAATATCTGGGAACACACGCATGTCCATCAAAAGTCCTGTAACCCGATAACATGGAGAAAACCCATGCAGGCCCAGGGAGAACATGCAAACTCCACACAGGGAGGCCAGAGCGGGGATTGAACCCACGACCTCTGCGCTGTGAAGGTGACGTGCTAACCACTGGACCACCGGGCCGCCAGTTTTACTCTTAAAAAGTCAAATTTGTATCTTCTTTCATTTTCATCTGTTGCTAAGAGATGTCGCTTCAGGCTTACATGTTTGGAGGACACCCACGGATCACTTATCTACAGCATTAAATTCAAGACATCCAGCCCTATTCTCTCTCCGCAACCAATCCCAACTGGCAAATTCTGTACTTCCCGATAACTTGGCTTGCGATAGAAAATAAGGAACACATCTCATTGTGACCGAGTGCAGTTTAATACTTTTGCCCAGAGGGCCCCTCTGTGCGTGGGTGAGCGAGTGAGGTCAACCTTGATGAAGTCGCCGACGTCGCAGTCGATGTTGACGTCAGACAGCTCCAGGCCGATGACTTCGCTGGGCTCGCCGATGATGAAGGCGGCGCAGGACAGCTGCTGGGGCGACGACGCCACGAAAGTGAAGTGGCCCTCGATGGCCAACATGTCCAAACATCCTGACATCGGGGTTGCATTAGTCACATTAGTTCTTAGTATGATGCAGAGCATTGACAACAATGACGCACGACACCGTTAGCTAATTTCACTTTTTTTTTTTTTTTTTCGTCAATTCACGAGGATGGCGAAGCTGTAGGAACATGTTTGGATGATCTCAAAACCTGCGCCACTGCTAACAAAGAACAAAAGCTTTCTTTGTTCTTCTTAGTATAAGCACAAGTTATTCAAAGAGGGAAATTAGTTTGTGTGCAGTTTTTTTTTCATTCTATGTATGAAGTTGTATGAAAATGGAGACTGTACATTTACATGACAATTTTATTGATTTATTTATTTTATATCTGTACTCAAGTACTGGTACATTTTATACTCTGCTCTTTTCTATTTTTACTTCAGTGAAGGAGTCAAAATTTTTCAAGTATCAGTACTCAAGTAGCGCATGTGAGTACTTTTACCACCTCTGCATGATCAACGACAGTAATAAACATACCACAAACATACCACATTTCCCAATATTGAGGCCAAAACTGTGTAAATTTATTCACTACGGTATTACTGGGGAGGCAGCTACCATATTTCCACAAATGGTGGCCCAGAGCTACGAACTTACTCATCTGCAGATTGAAAGGAGATCTTTATTTCTACAGACATATGTTTTTTGTGTTTTTTTTTTTCATATATTCATATTAAAGCAAGCATTACTTTTATTTCAACTCGGCTGAAAAGACAAGAGACATGGCAGACTGATTCTCTGGAGCTTAAACACACAAAATTGCAGAGGGATGACACATTCCACTGGAATGCTAATCTTTAAAGATCCATTTTTCATAATTGTGTTATTTAAATACAGCGTGCCTCTGTGGGTGCTGCTGTATTGGTTAGCAAAGGGATCAATAGCGTGATTCTGCTCTTGTATTGGATCACATTAGATTGTACAGGTGCACTGAATGTCGTGACCAGTGGATGGGGACACACACACACACACACACACACACACACACACACACACACACACACACACACACACACACCGCAAAATTAAGACCGGTTAACTTCTGAATGCAGCCAATCCACTTACTGAGAGGTCGCCTGAAAATAAAGTCTTCAGATTCTCTCTTCTGCTCCAAGTTGAGAAGAGAATATAATCCGTCTGAGGTATCGTCCTCCTGAAAGTACACGTTTGAGAATCAGGCACCACATAAGCAGGTTTTGGAGACGTGGATCTCACCTCGATGTAGCGGCTGAGCACCGTGCGGGACGAGAGAGAAAGGAAGAGGAACAGAAGTTCTGTGCGCACAGACGGAGACATGCCGGTGGTGTGCGTGCGTGTCTCTTTGCCACTAAATCTTGGAGAGGAGAAGAACAGCTGGGGATGCTCGGTGGCAGCTCTTATATAGCAGCCGCACAGGCTCAATGAAGCGTCCAGCAGGACTTGAATCATGTGTGAGGGTCAATCATCCATATGCAGATTGCATTTTGCTTTTCTTGTAAAATGCACAATTTGTCCAAATGAATATAACATATCGTGTTTCCTCGTCTTTAATGAGCCAAATTTTATTCAGATTTGAAAATTGTATTCCACACTAAGCAGAAAATGGTCAAAGCAGATAGCGAACAATTCCACGAAAGAAAAGCGAAGTGTTTTGACTCTTGCTGTTTTTTTGCCATTCCCAATTCAAGTTTCAACATTTAACCGAACCACATCACTTAAATAAAAATGCTGACACCCAATGCAAAATGCCATTGACAAGCTAATAAAACTAACATTGCCATTACAACCCTTTCAGCAATGGACTTTCAAACACCATAGGTGAAGCAACACATGCGGACAACCAATGTAAACAATATTCACTTGCACATATTCATTATCATAATATCACTGCAGCTTACAGAGTTACTTAGTTGTGAAACTCTTCTTCCTGTATTATGTCGTGTTTATTATACGTGCCCTTGATAGCCAAGGCGCACACACCAGAAGGAACACAATGCCAATGGGCAATGGAGCATGAACTCACAATTCACAAAATATTTGATTCACTATATTACTGGTATATTTAATTATATTATTAATTCATGTTTTCGTTAAAAAAAAAATAATTGCTGCTTTTTGGGGAGGCTGGAAGAAATGAATAGCGTTTACATTTATCGTGCTTTCAGTTAAGTGCGCGGTCACGTGCACACCATTGGATTAAGAACTTTGAGGCACTGATGCAAAATGCATGCTGAATTAGTGGCTATTACGGCAGCCTCATAATCGACAGGTTTGGAATTTTGGCTACGGTGAAGTTGGGATGTTCTTACGTCGGTTGCGTGGGGTTGGTCAAGTTAGCTGACATAGGCACAATCCATTGATGACTCAACAAGTCATTCACGAATTGTTCTTTATGTTCCCTTCCCTTTCCATTTCTTTGAGTGTCCTTTACTGCCAAGTCATTGTTTTTATGTTGAGAAACAAGACAGAAACTGTGCCCTAATCCAATTCCTGAAATTCACTTAGATGCGGCTAATTGTAAGGATCCACGCATTCATTGTAAAAGGTCAAACTTGACAACAAGCGGAGTGTTAGGGCCAGCGACTCCTCATCTAAATCACACAAAATACGGCATGTGGCCTACAGTTACCCTCTAATGAGTGGTGACATTTCCTTTGAACTGATGAAGGTCTTGGACGCCACACGCTCGGCTCCAAAAATAAGAAATACAACAAAGGGCAATAATAGCTTCTAGACAGGAGCCTTTCCCTTCAGTTTGCAATGACCTATTCAAGGTGTATTACCATCAATTTAAGACCATGGGGGGTTGAGGAGGGGGGGTCAAATTAATTGGTGTTCTTTTTTTTTAAACCCTTTGTGCATAGCCGATGTCTCTGCCTATCTATTGAATGACAGTAGTATTAAGTAACATGCTAAATACAGTGCACAGCACAGGTATACAGGTACTGCATTAGTATTTTCAGTCATCATTTGAAAACTATCCATCAAAATTTCTCTGTCATTCTCCCATGTTTGCATGTTCTCCATGTGCCTGTGTGGATTTTCTTCAAAAAACATACATGGCAAGTTAATGGAACGTTCTAAATCGTCCTTCGGCGAGATTGCGAGAGTGAACGGTTGTTTGTCTATGTGTGCCCAGCAATTGGCGGGCAACCAGTTCAAGGTGTCCCCCGCCTACTGCCCGAAGATAGATGGGATATTTTCCAGCATGCCCGCGACCCTCGTGAGGATACGTGGTTTAGAAAATGAAGAATGGATGGACAGCCAGAGAGTGGAAACAGGTGGTAAGGAACACAGAAATAAATGAATTTTGAGAAGTTTAAGAAAGTTTGAATAGATTTGAAGGGTTTTTGAAGATAAATTCCCGTTAAATCCAATTGGAATCGTCCAACTTTGGAAATGTTGCAACTCCTATATGGAACATGCCTCGTGATCAACGGGGGTTATTCTGTATTGTGCATTCTGTGCCGTCCTTGGCGGAGCTCACGTGAGCATCTCACCTATAGTAATGGGCGATGTTAAAACTGTATGTAAGATCAACCAGTGATCTCGATAAATTACAGCGTCAAAAAATATTGGACAAAAATGAATTTTTCACAAAAACGTAGAGTGTGATTCAGAGAAATGCATACAAAACAAATACAAATACGATTCTGCTGCCCTCTGGTGGCCAATACGAATACATGTCCTTTGTTTAAAATGTGAGGAGTAAAGTTCAGCTCTTTTTCACTTAGAGTTATGTTTTTAAAAAAAATCTAATTACTCTTTATTACAAATGCAGCTTGATCAGGATGGGGAAAAAAAAAGAAAGCCGGTTTGTCTCCTGCATCAAATAATTGCTTACGGTGGTCAGACTTGATGGTGTCCTGTGTGGAGTTAAATTGCAATGATTGTTGACTTCACAGAAAAGCGGCCGTCTGCCCCTTTGAGTCCCAGCATCCACCCTCCTTGAAAACACCACCTCCCTAGCGGAAAGAGAACGTTTTGTAGGCTTTCTCTTGATTGTTGCATGTTGACTCACTTGCTCACATACACACACACATGCTAAAGGTGCACACACAGGACAACTAGACCCATTCATCTCCTCTGGGGGGGTCCGAATGAACCGACCCTCCCCATTTGGACTGACTGGACAGAGAGAGATGAGTGCGAAGCCTTGTATGGATTTTTGTTCCTCAACCCTCCCCTCCCAAACGAGGTTAGTTCCAAGTGTGTTAATCAAAAGCGATGGCTAACACCGTCTTCTTTTAATTACATCCCAGCACACAACTTCAGGAAGAGGCCGCCCTGGTACCAGTTTTTTTTATTTATTTTTTTTTTTTTTGCTGCCAACTCAAGTCTCTCTAGTTAAATTCGAGGTGAGGATAGTAAAGAACGGTTAAGTAAATCAGTTTAATTTTACGATTTCATTTCAACAGTAGAACGGTGAACTAGTAGTTTGGATTAAAGCACAACAATTAGTGCACATCGTTTGATTTTGCAGGTGTAGCCAACACACGCTAGGCCTTTGACTTTCTGTAAAAGTGTCCTTCCATCATTCTGACTCTTTCTCAGCCCTGACTCCTTCTATCCGAGCTAATAAACATTGGTTATCAATACACTCAATGACAATGATTCAGTACTCTGCATAAATGTTATTGACTGAAATCGGCTCCAAATAGCAGCACCTCATTTGTCCATGACTTAAAAAAAAATGTATAGAATCTTCAGATTGTACAATTTTTTTTCCATAACGGGATTGCATCAAGAGTATTGCGCATGTCACCCAAGAAAAACAAACAAACACGGACAGTATTTCCATTTTGCAAAAGCCCTCCAATTCTCTCTGCAAGCCACCAGAAGATGTCGACATTGAGCCACAGCTAACATGAAAGACGTGAAAATGCACCATAAAAACGGCACATTGTTTTTCTACTCGTTTTGTTGCTGACCTGTGTGAACGTTATCATTGTCGTGATAGCAACAACAACAACAATATAATAATAACAATAACAATAATAATAATACCTCATATTTAGTCTACGAAGCATCCTTTCAAAGCACCTACTTTAAGTATTAATTTAGTACAGGAGGTTTTTGATTTTTTTAAGAGAATAAAAGCCATAATACTATAAGGAAAATGTATTTGTTAAATGACTTGTTTAAATAGGACTTTATTCGCTTGTTATGCTTTGTTTTTAATAGCGCAATGATAATGTTATCCAGGAAAAACATTTTATTAATTATTATTAAGATTAAAATTTTTTATCCTGACAAAATTTACTCTGGTACAGATTAGGACTTTTTAAAATTTGATTTAATTTTTAACATCTTAAAAAAATTTCCCCTTTAAAAAAAAAAAAATCTGCAATCGTACGACTTCTTTTTTTATAGTTGACGAGTTAATAGTTGACTTTTTCATTCATATGGAATTTAGGAGAACATGCGTTTCACTGGCAGAAGGATTGTCAGGGGATAAAATTTCTCCGCTGTAATAGGTACATGGAAATAAAAAGTTTGAGAAATCCATTGTGCAGGTCAGAGGCCATTCATCCTTCTCAGCCAATTATTATCTTAAATGTATTTTAAACCAGTGCAGTACATTTGTTAATTACAGTTCAGTTGTATTTAACTTTCAAGTACAATAATGGTTTCCTTTGGAGGTTTTTGTTTACCAACCTTTATCATGGTTATTTTTATTTTTTTTACTTTTATATACAATCGATTATAATTGAAGCATTCTTTGATTACGTTTTGTTTTTAATTTCCTTTCAGCGCATTGCTACCATTCAGTTGCTGCATAATGTGACAGTGGGTTACAATATGAAAAATACATTTAGGAAAGAAAGCTGTCTTGTTCCTGACGAAAACTTAGGCCTACTATGATACTGTATTTTAATGTTGGTCATTACGGTGGTATTTGGAAATAAGGATCGTTTTAGGGGAACGCCACAACGCATGCTCACACAGTTTGGAAAAATTTGCATCTAAGGACAACAACTATGTGACATATCACCTTTCAGCAAAAGTACAGTATGGAGAGCATGTAAGTTTGGTGCTGGCCTGCGTGGCCATGCATGGCTGGGTCACATAATGAATGTTGATGAAGTAGAAAAGCCGCTTTAATCAGGACGGATCACTGTGCAGAGGTGGAGAATGTCAGCGAGAGCAGGCACAGCTGCTTGCTGAGAAATTCAATATTGACTGTCGGGATAAATGTCCTGCATATTCTCTCATGTGTCCCAGGGGCCGCGGTATTATGCCTCTCACGTTAGCGGGCCCTAATTGGATTAAAAATGACTTGTTATTGGGAGAAAAATGGCCGAGAATATGCCGTCATAATTATTGCCTCTGCTTCTCCGAGTGCTCGGCGAAATGTCA